CTTTCTACCTACAACACTAACAAGTTTTTTTGTCTGAAGTCACTAACTATAAATAATTGGGGCTTTACATAACAAATGATCTCTATTGGAACAAACACATAACACACATTACGACAAATGCAACTAACAAACAGTTTTTTCTACACCATGCTCTCAAGCTGTCCACATCTTCTGTCCACCTTTTAGCATATAAATCAATTGTTTTACCAATATTAAATTCCACTGCCAATGCCTGAAATTACTTCACTAAAACTAACATTAAAATTTGAAGAAGTCCAAAAAAGAGCAGCGTTTTATAGGTAACAATTTATCAGGGACTTCTATTACACCCCTATTAAACAAAGCTGAACTGTCATCCTTATCATTAAAATATCGTAAATCAAGACTGTAGTTTTTGTATCAACTAATTAAAGGCCAGCATAAAGTTAACATAGCCTATCTCTTTCTTTTTCTTCTGGCTACTCTACCAGAGAGAGACATGACTTTACAATAACTCCCTTTCCTACATGCAATAAGTGCTTTAAGTATTCATTCTGTCCTCGCACCATATCCGAGTGGAATAAACTAACTAATGTGATTGTTTTATCACCCTCATTGGCATTGTTTTCATTAGAATTAAAAAGTGCTCTGGCCAACTGAATCATATTACACATTGCATAAATATGGTTCTTTTTCTTTGTTTATTTATTGCATTTTCTTGTATCTTATTGTATCTTCTGGCCCAAGAAATTTCTATCTGCCCTATACACACTGTATAGCCTTTGTCTATTACAGACCCCTGTACTTGGCGGTTTTTTTGCTCATGACTAACTTCGTGTACCACCCAGCTAAAATCACCAAATGGTGATTGCAGTACCTATGAATAAATATATAAATAAAATCTGGTCACAGCAGGCATCAAACCCAACCATTCTGCGAGGCAATCAATTTTTCTTCCACAGAGCCACGCCAGGTCTCGCAACTGCTTTTCAAGTACACCGTAATGTTCATGAAACGTCAACTGTGATTGCAACGCTCCAACTCACAACTTTTACAACCTATAGGTGGCGCGACTGTACATCCAACATGGTGGCCATTGAGATGATCCCCCTCAGAAAGAAGGTGCCAGAAAGTACACGTTTGGCAAATAGTGCAATTCTTTGGGCTTTGGTGGCCCTTCGATTTATGTTTTTGTAAAATTGGGGAAGCGCTAAAATACTATCTTAAGTAAATAAATTTCGGGTAGCACACTGGTTGGATAAATATGTGCAATAATGTTAATAAGGCAAGCACACTCTTCACATTGCTGGCTGTGCATAATGGCACGCAATTCCCACTGTTATGCTAAAAAAATTTTATAATGCCTCAGTAGAAATTACTCACTAACATGAGATACATTTTTGGGAACGTGCATTTTCGGGGACATGCATTCTTGTATCGCATTCTGCCGTGAAAATGATGTAGAATAAGCAGATGAAAAAAAAGAAAAAATGTTTTGCTTTCCAATACCGAAGCACAAGCACCAATTGAGGCATGTCCTATTACCGCAATATGATGTTATGATGCATTCTTGATTTAAAAAAAAAGAAAACAACAGCAGAATATCAGAGAATTAAGTCTGCAAGCAGCGAAACAAATCAGTGCCAATTTGCAACTTTCACATATAAGAGGTGGTGTTCCCATTAATATTCTATGTTTTCGGCATTTGAGAAGTACAAAAGATAGCATGGTGCGGGGCAGAAAGGACAACCAAAAAGCGCCACCGGCAAGTAATACCGAACAAAAAATGCTGCAGGTGTGAAGTTCACGGAGACACTTCGCAGATGCTTTAGATGTGGAATTATGCGATTAAAATTTGGAACAAGTCCTTTTCTTCTACTCCAGAGGTAGAACGTATTCTTAATTAGTTCTGGTACTGTTTGCACAGCGACTGCAACGAGTGGATGAAGTAAGCGTGAAAATTGCAAGCCTGGAAGTTGATGTACTCATGCACAAAATGGGTGCTGCATACATTCACGGGCCTTGGTTATTTGCCTGCTAAATTTAACCCTCTTTAACAAATCATGGCTTTTTGGGGTGCAAATTTGAACGGGAGGCTCACTTTTCCTCCCGGTGTATACAGACTGTGAGCATCAAGGTTCGCAGTTGTACAGTTATATCGAGGCTGTTCACAATGTTGAAGAACGACCACAAATGCAGAAAAGCAAGCAACGACGTCTGCTGTTTGAAGCAGGTCTAAACTTCAATTATCTAAACAGAGCTTCTGGCAGCCACTGCTCAGCGGCACCACGGTACCTGGAAATCGCTAAAGAATGTCGATACTAAATGGAGGAAGCAAACTCGAAAATCGTCAAGCAAGTATTTAGATAACAGCAGAATACCAAGCCAAAAGGAAACATCGGTTAAGACGAAAGCGAAGGAAACAGAGAGGAACATGTGGAAAGAGATCATTCTTCGAGACCTACTGAACTTTTAAGTCAACTAAGAAATTGCAAAAGAAATGATCTACGAGAATTTTCGGGGTAGTTCTCCGCTGTTCGAGGCCAGAACGAGAATATAGTGGACCAAGACGTACCGAGCCAAATACGAAGGCACAGACACATTATGTAGTGCATGTGAAGAGGAGGAGGAAATGGCTGAACATTTAATAATGTTCTGCAGAGGGCTCCACCCTATAGTCGAAGATATTGGCGCAGAATTTTTCAGACCATCGGGGTTTAGGGAGAGTGAAGGCAAAATAGACTATCAACGGGTAGAGATAACAAGGAGGGGGTTAACTGATTGGTGGCTACCATCAAGGCGCAAGTGAAAGTCAATCTTTCAATACATAGTGATAGTACATTATTACAGCATATAGTGATAGTACATTACTTATAGTTTCTGATGTATGTCAATGATATCGCAGATATAGCAAAACCCCATGTTAAGCTCAAACTGTTTGCTGATGATTGTTTAATTTACGCGCGAGTGACTGGTAGGAAGGACCAATCAGACATTGTCGAATGTCTAAAGAAATTACACTCATGGTGTGAAGCTTCGCGAATGAAAATCAATTATTCGAAATCTACCATCACTCACATTTCTAGGGAAAAAAATGATAATTCCATTTGAATACAGTATCGGAAATCACACCTTGTTGACAGTTAGTGGATTTAAGTACCTAGGTCTCACAATAACGCATAACCTAAAGTGGCACACACATATTGATAATGTTTGCTCTAGGGCCTCACAAAAATTGTACATATTAAGAAAAAACTGCAGGGTGCTAGTATGGACGTAAAACTTCTTGCTTTTAAAACTTTCATACGGCTGATACTGGAATATGCCAGTATTGTCTGGAGTCCCCACCAAAAAGTGCTTGTAAATAAACTTGAATGCATACAACGGCTTGCAGCTCGCTTTATATGCTCGAGATATAAGCAGAACGATTCAGTCACAGAAATGCTACAACTATGTGATCTGGAGACGCTCTACAAGCGCAGACGCAAAAATAGATAGTTTCTTTTTCAATTATTAGAAGGTTAGTTTAAAATTAACAGAAACGACTACATAGAACAACCTGGGAAACGAAGCGAGAGGGCAAACCATACACGAGTACTGCAACCTTATTTTGCACGAACGAAGGCGTACCGTCATACTTTCTTCCCCGATGTCATTGAAGATTGGAATGGGTTACCGAGTAACATAGTCAATGCGGGTGATGTTGATGAATTTGTGCATTTACTTGATTTACATTTATGTGACTTATTGTAAATATTATTACAATTGTTATTCGTTGCATTGCGAATCAGGGTGTGTGTTTTTCGTTTGCAATGCAGAGCTTCCACGGATTTGTATATATGTATACCTGGTTTATCATTGGGAGATGTATAGTTATATCCCGAATTTGTTTGTACAGTGTGTCGTACCGTTCCTGTAATGACCCTCAATAAAGGTTGACAGTATTTCCAAATAAAATAAATAATACATAACTTTATGACTAGGTGGCGTGAGCCACCAGCCGACCTAAAAGGGCACAGCCGGATACATCCATCTATCCGTCTGTTGCAAACCATACAGCCGTCACATCGGGTTACCGACAAGTGCAGTGAAGAGCCATTATTTAACCTCATTTATCAAGCAGGGCCGTCATCCTCGCTGGTACAAGCACCGCTCCGGGTGTTGCTAATACCCATGTCGCTGTTGGCATGGCTAAGCAGCAGTAAACATCCCACTGTTAACATGTCTGTGCATACAACATTTGTAAATACTTTTCTTATTGAGTAACGTCTCACTCAATAATATATATATATATCTGCACTGAAGTAGACACACGTACGAAGTGATTTTATTGACGTTTCAGCCGCGGGTCCGGCCTTCATCAGAATCCTTTTGATGAAGGCCGAACCCCTGGCCGAAACGTCAATAAAATCACTTCGTACGTGCGTCTACTTCACTACGAGTAATTTTACCCGGACCCAGCACCACTTTTTCTCCGTGTGTGTATATATATATATATATATATATATATATATATATATATATATATATATATATATCCTGCCCACGGCAAGTCATCTTTTCACTCAATTTTCTTCATATTTACATTACAATTTGGTATAATATCTTCCCCTATACTTTCCCTGGCATTATTATCTGTTACCAACGTACTGTATGTATAATTTGCTTGTGTCTAGTTGTTTGTAGTCTAATTCCCAGCCAAAGCGTTTCTTTTGTGTGTTATTTGATTCATTTTTGTTGTCATTTTTGACCAAACTACCATATTAGAACTGTACTGTTTATAATAATTTGTTCAACTTGAATTATACACACTTACAGCGTATTTTTTGCCCCCCCCCCCTTATGTAATGCCCTCGGGCCTTTAAGAATGCAATAAATGAAAACATATCATTATTATTGTGTAAAATCACGGAAAAACGAGCCCTAAGGTATATCTCCGCATAACATATCTGCCGCGGCAGTAGCAATGAAACGCGGGATGGCAGCCTAGTGTCTTCGAGGAGGAAGTCTGCCGTGCTCACCTGCATCTTTTTGTAGAGGCCGTAGTGCATGACCAGGCTGTGCGTGACCGACAGTCGCTGTGGCTTCATCGGGTGGCCCGGACCTGCGTGTGATCACGAACAGCAGAAAATCAAGCACCCATTCGAGGCGACCGGCAGTCGAACGCACCGTAGTGGAAGTTCCCTACGTCCGGGTCCCAAAAGTACATTACATTCTTCTTCGTCATCGACGGCAGCGGCACGGCACCTCCATCACGACAGCTTGACAATTATCGCGGCCGTTTGCTATGGAGACGTGTAGGACTGCAGTAAAAGCACCAAACGCGCAATTAAAAACATCGACATAAACACATTTTGTTTAATTATTTTTAATATAAATTTATGTATACCTATTTTTTTAATATGAAACAAGTTAGATGATAATGTTGCACAAAGAGCGCCAACTTTAAAAGAGCTTTGCCATTTTACTTCACCATCGCAGGCTCGCACAGAGGTACCACTACAGTGGCTAGAATAGCCACTGTAGTACTACTAACAAAACACCTATACAGTACCATTGAGGTACGTCCTGCTTCCTTCTATAGGCTATCAGATGTGATTTGACATTGTAAGCACGGGTGCTCATTGAACGCCATGACACATTCAGAAGCGGTCATTCTTTCTTCGACAGCCCTAGCGTAGCCATGCAGATGGCTGAGGACGGGATTTTTGCAGCGTAACCTACACTGACCGAAGTGCCCAGTCTCACTTGGCTTACGGCAGCTACGGTGAGATAGTTCTACCAAATAGTGCGATGGTGTACTGGAATGGGGCAGTGTGCCGTCTTCACAGCAAACCAATGGGACATTGGTGTGGCGGTTTGGGCTAGTTGGTATGACATAACGATTGTTATAGCGCGAGAACAGAACGACGACAGAAGGACAAGACGATGATGATCCTAGAGGTACTGGCTCACTACCACAAAGGGGGATCGGGCAAAAACTGGGCGGCAGGATCAAAGCGGCCGTCGTCGGATAGATGGATGGATGGATGTGGCTCTACCCTTCAGATCGGGCTAGGGTGCCTTGATGCCCGCGCGCTCAGCGGGGGCGCGCGCATCGAGGCACTCTAGATCGGGCAGCGGCTATCGCCACCTAGCCGTAATACTTAGTTAACTAACCATTAAATTTATGTGTTTTTTTCTTTGAATAGTGAAGTTGAGGACTGGTACTTTAAGGTAAAAATTTTAATTTTCACTCGTACATTGACTTTAGCCACCAATCAGATAACCTTCTTTTAGTTAATTCTACCCGCTTAGAGTATATTTTGCCCTCTCTGTCCATAAACCCCAGTGCTTTGAAAAACTCTGCGCCATCATCCTGAACTATTGGGTGACGCCCTTTACAAAACATTATCAAGTGTTCGGCAGTTTCCTTCTCCTCTCCACATGTACTGCATACCGTGTCTACAGACTACCGCTTCGTTACCGTGTACTAGAATACTTTCCAGTGGCACGACCGCGCTTCGCCGGCTGACGTGCGTGATGGCAGCTGCAGCGGCAGCGCTGCCATCGACCACTCTTGAAAGTTCGCCCTGGCTCTCCAGGTGTTCTGTGGCTCTCCTCTGCTGTGTACGTGGCACACGAGAACGTGGCGCGTGTTCGGTTATGCACTGCCGCTGTTTTAACGTAATTAAGGCTGGGTTCACAAGTATTTTCCGGTTACTTTGTAACCGCATTGGTGTGTTTAAGCTGCTCGCATGATTTCGGGCCTCTCAGGAATAAAAGCTAGTAGCAGACGAAAGCCAGTCGACACGCTGCAACTTTTTTCTCTCTCTTTTTTTTTTTTTTTTTTTTGCCCGTAATGGACCGTTTCAGGCGATGTGGCAATTTCGCGAGTACTAAATTTTTCGAAACAGTTGTTATTCGTAAAACTAAATATCCGTGTGATATTCATGATTATGAAAAACACGTCGTCTGCACTACAAACTATCAAAAATCAGACAATGCGCAAAAGAAAAAAAACTAACTCCAAAGCGCTCTTAATGACCCACACGATTTTATTGCACGCGTTTTTCATTTGCTCAAAAATTATTCTTGAAGCTTCAATGCACAAAGCAAACAGTGTATAATTACAGCTAAGTTAGTCTGCTTAGCTTGAGGTGTTGTTCTGCCTTTCTCTTTGACAGCACGTTTGCTTTGTTCAAGCCTTTGGTAAAAAATGAAGTCTTGTGGTAACATAAAGGCTGACTATGCGAGGAGTCAGACTCTCTGCGTGAGCTCTGCATCCCACATTCAAGGAAGCGGCACAATGAATCATGTGCAGGATGTCCATCACGCTCTCCCGGTGAACTTTTCGTGCACTAAAATAATTTGTGAAAATATCTTCAAGCCTTGAGATACAGCGAAAGAGTTCGACTGACGGGTAGAGCAAACCGCCCTGATCATTGTGGCGTACAAATGCTACAGCATGCAAGCGGCGCCCTTCTTCTTTTGGAAGGAGGAGGCTGTCGTTACATATAAGTCAGCCTTGAGTCGCTTCTCTGGACGCGGTACTCATCCACAGATTCACTGTCACATGAATATGAAGGTCCCGCTTGCTTTTCCGTGCAAAGCTTCATTTTGTCGATCAGCTGTTGCTTTGGGGTTTCTTCCCTGTCCCCAACGTCAAGAACGGATGACATCGCCTTCTGCATTCTCGCCTGCAACACTGTGTGCAAAATTATAAAAAGAGAGACAGTGAGCAGAAACTGCTGTGGCGTCGGGTGAGAGTTGCAGCCGGATAAAAGTCTCACCATTCCGGATAAGTTTTCTAATTTATCTTGGCTCAGCCTGGATGTCAACAAGTAGCGAAACCCAACTTGCTCACGCAAACAGCGAACGAGCTCTGGAGTACTTGTTAAAGTGGCTCTTAAGCCCTCAGCACTCGACTCGCTGAGAAACTTCTCTTTATCAGCATGGCGCTCCCAGGCGTCCAGAAAACTGAGAATTTTCCTAATGTTTTTCTCACCTGCCGAGTCAGGTCTGAGAGCCTCGGCTGTGTACCTTGCTGTCATCACAGCAATCAGTGGCTTCATTCTCGTGAAGAACTTCTCGGTCGCATCAATTTTACCACAGCGAGTCGAGAGAACATGGAGTAAAACATACTCCGTCTGCGTCGTGAAGTACGTTAATGTAGCGTCCAGCGCTTCCCAGGCGTTTTGAGTTCCGTCACAGCAGCGACAGTCGCGGCCGCACAGACTTCATTGCTGTTCGTAGATTCGTCAGCGTCTGTCACCTCTGCGACCTCCCCACGTGCCTTTTTTCGTTGCGGGACTTCGTCATTGCGCTTGCTTTTTCGCTCATTCCTCTTGCAAGTGGGCTGTTTGCTCAGGTAAGCTGGCAGACTCGGCAAAATTGTGGGGACTGCGTCCGGAGTGAGCGTACGCGTCCCACGTGGAATGCGAACTTCCTCACCATTTATGCGGTGTACGTAGTCCCTGACAATGAAGCGCAGCTGAAAATGCAGCTCACATACCGCGCAGTCTGCGGTTGGCGGCTTGTAGGCTCTATGTAGGTTTCTTTCCCACGTGGATCTCCGTTCCGGGTCTGCAGGCGCCTTGAATATCGACAGCTTCTTCGCGCTGTTAGTTCGCGCGTATCCTGTGCTGCAGCCTGGAGCATAGCAGTGATTGAGAGGTTGCTTTGCACTCATTGACGCAAGTGGCCACATTCACATAAGTACAGGCACTAAACTCAACCACGCATAACGAAAAGGCAGAACGAAATGCAGTAGCCGTGCGCGCCCATTGAGTTTCTCAAAATTAACTAGAGGGCACTCTGGCGCTGCGATCGTTCAAGGGATCGTTTGGATATCAAGGGAGCGTACGATAGCGTGGTTCAAGAGGAATTGTGGGGAATACTGGACACACTAGGCGTGGAACATGTAGTCACTAATCTTTTAAAGGGTATCTATAAAGGTAACAAGGTAGTTATAAAGTGGGAAAAACAGGTATCCAAGCCTGCAGAGGTAAAACGGGGGCTTAGGCAGGGGTGCCCCCTGTCACCCTTATTATTCATGATGTACCTACAAGGATTAGAGGCAAAATTAGAGGGAAGTGGACTGGGCTTCAACCTCTCTTTAGTCAAACAAGGAAAACTTATTGATCAGGCACTACCAGCATTAATGTACGCAGATGATATAGTGCTAATGGCCAACAACAAGGAAGATTTGCAGAGATTGATGGACATCTGCGGTAATGAGGGAGATAGGTTAGATTTTAGATTCAGTAAGGAAAAATCAGCAGTCATGATTTTCAATGACAACGAAGGTAGTGAGCTTAGAATACAGGAGGTCACGCTAGAGATAACAGATAAATACAAATATCTGGGCGTATGGATAAGCAATGGGACCGAGTATCTGAGGGAACACGAAATATACGTGACGACTAAAGGTAACAGGAATGCAGCAGTCATGAAAAATAGGGCACTGTGGAATTACAATAGGTATGATGTTGTGAGAGGAATATGGAAAGGGGTCATGGTTCCTGGGCTGACGTTCGGCAATGCGGTCTTGTGCATGAGATCAGAAGTTCAAGCAAGATTAGAAGTTAAGCAACGTGGAATAGGTAGGCTTGCTTTAGGAGCTCACGGGAATACACCAAATCAGGGAGTACAAGGTGATATGGGATGGACATCATTTGAGGGCAGGGAAGCTAGCAGCAAGATAAAGTTTGAGAAACGATTGAGAGAAATGGGGGAAGAGCGTTGGGCTAGGAAGGTTTTCAGCTACTTGTACATGAAGAATGTCGATACCAAATGGAGGAAGTGAACCAGGAAGTTGACTGGTAAATACTTAGAAAACAGCAGGTGGCCAAACCAAAAAGAACTATCGGTTAAGAAGAAAGTGAAAGAAACGGAGACTGGCATGTGGAGAATGGGCATGATTAAGAAGTCCGCACTAGAGATCTATCGAACTTTTAAGCAGGAAATTGCCAAGGAAAGGATCTATGATAATACTCGGGGTAGTTCTCTACTGTTTGAGGCCAGGACGGGAGTACTGCGAACCAAGACATATCGAGCCAAATACGAAGGGGTAGACACAGTATGCAGTGCGTGTGGAGAGGAAGAAGAAACTGCCGAACACTTGATAATGTCCTGTAAAAGGCTTCACCCTATAGTTCAGGATGATGGCGCAGAGTTTTTCAAAGCACTGGGGTTTAGGGACCGGGAGGGCAAAATAAACTTTAAGCGGGTAGACTTAACCAGAAGGAGGTTATCTGATCGGTGGCTAAAGTCAAGACACGAGTGAAAATTAAACTCTTCACTGCAAAGTA